CCCATGATCCACCGAAGAGGTCTTTCTTTGGTGAAAATCGTATCTCAGTTTCGTTCATGTACATATAGTGCTTTCTGTGCTTTCTGTATTTCCTTTCTGTTTTCCATTTCATTAAATAAGGGAATTAAACCAGAAGCCACCGTTCATATAAATCCCTTATTAAATTCAATTAGATCTAATACGAAAATCATGGAATCCTAGGTTCCTGGTTTTGGAATGGATTTCATTTGAACCCCTTATAGAATTTAATTTAGAATTAATCTGGATGCTTGTTTAAATGAAGCCTCTACATAATTATTTAAATCAATACCGAAGTGAAGTTTTGGAATCCTTCAAGTATAGTGATCATCTTCTGAGGCCACTTCTCTGTTGGGACTGACCAAAAACTAAGGAAACCCAAAAACAACAACAACAAAAAAACAACTTTTTGGTGAACTATGGTGGCTGCTGAAAAAATTGTTTTTTTGGTTTTCCTAGGAAAACGTTGGTTTTTCCAAGAAAAACCAACTTTTCCTTAGGAAAAAGTTAGGTTTTCAAAGTCCTGAGCTTCAAAAACCAACTTTTTCCTAGGAAAAAGTTGGTTTTCCAAAAAAAATTAAAAGCCAGTCATTGCAAAAACCAACTTTTTCCTAGGGAAGGAAGGTTTTTCTTGGAAAAACCAACTTTTTCCTAGGAAAACCCAAAAAACAACTTTTTCAGCAGCCACCATTGGTGCTTTCTGTGCTTTCTGTATCTCCTTTCTGTTTTCCATTTCAGTAAATAAAAATCCCTTATTAAATTCAATTAGATCTAATACGAAAATCATGGAATCCTAGGTTCCTGGTTTTGGAATGGATTCTGAAACAGCGGGGCCCCTTATAGAATTCCAATCACATTCAATAAAATCGATCCGAGAATGGGGAGTGTCCAAAATCCGATCATGCGAAAAGGCTTGTTTTCATCGGTATTTACAGTGTTTTCGGGGGGTCGGTGGATCATCGGGGGGGGGGGTCCATATATATATATATATATACATAAATAAATAATATATATATATATAGATATACATGCCCGAGCATAAGGACCTACATCAAGTCCCGCCCATCGGACTCCAGCCCACGCTAGCCTTGAGCCCGAGCGACTCTCGATGCATCGTAGGGATCCACCCGAAAGTGATGCCATCGAACCTGAGGAATGCGTCTTCAAGCAATCATAGGCATGCTTGGGCTGCAACAGCTACCCGCACCTGACTGATTCTCCACAAGGCATTGTCATTCAAAGGTGCTCTCAGAAGGACCTCACACAAAAATTTGACACCGCAACTGTCCTCAGCCTTCAAGGTTTATAACATTCTTGGTATTTGTCATGCTTTTGTTTTCGGGCGTACCTTTTGAATTTTGGCCAGTCAGTCGCTTAGCAGTCGCACGGTCAGCTGCATGCGTGCAGATAGCTAGTCGCATGCATGTCATGTCGCATCGCAATGTCGGATGGTTGAAAGTACTAGCACAAAATCTTGGCCCACCACGCCGCATAAAACAGATTTCTTGCCAAAGAAACTATCACCGCATGTCACATCTACTGTACAGGAGCGCCGCCTGCCCTGATGGAACAGCTTGAAACAGGCAAAACTCTCCTTTCAAGGTGCCTTGACATCCGGGAAGGCCACCAACAAGTCAAACGCGCCGAGCTGGCGGATGAAAGTCGCCTTGTCCAAAGGCCCAATGACCTGTGGCGACTCTCCATCAAGTACGCAGAAGACTCAATACCTAGCTGCCCTAGCGCAAATCTCATAGACTACAGTAGCTGAGCACAAGCCGCAAGCTGTGTCCCCCCACCAAAGCTGAAAGACATGACTCCGGCTGCCGAACCTGCCCCACGAATTGGAAATCCTCCGCCAACATGTCCGGCGCCGTTATGCCGTACCTTTGATTGCAAAATGAGGACGCGCCCTTTCATGAACTGCCTCTTGGGCAGCAAATGAGCACATGTGAGTGACATTTGTCCCTACTGAAGCCCAAGCCAGCATGTTTCAGGAAGAGAGCAGGTAAGCCGGAACTCCGGTAAGCCCCAGCTAGGCCTGTAGACTGGAGAGATAGGCCCGCCACGCTGCAGCAGCACATCAGTTAAACTCCTTGAAAGCTCTAACTCTGACTGCTCACCCCTTGCTGCAAGGCATGGCAGCCATGGTGCTGGTTCTTTGCCAAGTACAACTTCGCCCTCTGGACAAGCTCATCTGCGGGGATTGGAAACCTGAAGCGGCGAACGGGCGGACAAACAAGCAGAGGCTTCTCAGCCTTTCGAGGCCTCTAAGTTGTACCGTGACAAGCTGGGTAGCTTGAAATTGGAGTGGCGTACTCAATCTGGGCTTCAACATTCGTTGGTTTGAGAAAAACATCGCCCTATGCCTTTGCAAAGCTGGCATCTAATGGTATGCGGTCTTGATCATGTTCTCATGGCATATCAGACGTGTGCTCATGGTGAAGTACAATGCGGAGATTCGCATGCAAGAATGTGGAAGGTGCACTTTGAGAGGCAGCGGGTGGCGCGAGCTCACTACTCATCCTCATGCTGCTTTGGAATGCACAGAACAAGGACTGCCGTGGTTGCCAGCAATTACTTCGGTGACACCTGGCAAGAAGCATGCTATGGCGAAGACTAAAGTTATGCATGCACCTGCTTATCTCTGCCAGGCCAGGCTTTCATGCTTGGGCACTTGTGCTTGGCAATCATGTCGATCTCCCGCTCGCCCGTGATTACCTAAGCTTTAGGTCGCGCCGGTGCTGCATGGTTAGTTTTCTGACAAGTGGCGGCTGAAGGCCACACGTCGAACGGTATGATTTCGCGCGCATGCCAATGCACCCTTTAGCTCACAGCCCTGATCGAGTCCTCACTACATGAGATCTATCGTGAAAACGAAATGTCTTACTTCGAAGAGCTAGGAAAGAGAGCAAATCGAAATGGAAAAAGCTCAGAGCAAAACGATCGCAGCAATTGTTTGAGCCAATCAGCCTCTTCTCTCAGCTCCCATTCCTGGACTGCTTTGACCTGTGCAAGCCGCGTGCATGGCAATAGCTTGCCATAATTACCTCTGACTGCTTCGTGGATCTGTAGCTTCCTTGCCCGTTATATGTGCTTAGCATCTCAAGGGTTTCAGCTTCGAAGTACTTTGATCTTTGAAGGAGGCATGTCTAAACCATCGCTCCACATCTTGGCATGGCCATTCAGCTTATGCTATCACAAAATGCCTTTTCTCTGCAAGTAGCTAGGCCTCATCTGCCGTGAGAGCTGCGCCGAGTCGCGTTCTGGAAGGGTGTGACAGAATTCGCTCAGACTGTGAAGCATCAAAAGCCCGTGCCATGCAGTACTGTAGGGAGGGATACCTAATGGGTGAACAACCAGTTGCGGCCTCACCTTGTGGCTGTCAGCTTCACTGTTCAGTGCATCACTATGCATCACTGCTTGAACGTCTACCAGAGGTCTTTCACAATTGCTTCAAGGCCAGCATGCTTATCACTAGTGCTGCCTATCAATGCATGCAGATGCTAGCTTCTACGCGCTACCAAAGAGATCGCTGCGCCTGGCTGGCAGCTTTGGTCTTGTCGTAGCTCTCGAAAGGAAGCAGCAGAGACTGGACAAGACATTGTAATTGCAGGTCTTCAGCATCAGGAGATGCTGCAGCTCAGTGTTACTTGGACACTTTAGGCGTGGACGTGACAGTGCTGAAGCCTGCATCCAGTATAGGTTGGGCTGCAAACTCAGACCCTGGAGTTGGCAAGGCGCTGCTCGAAGTGGACTCGCTTAGAATCGCTGTTGGATCTGGCAATTCTGAGGCCCCCAAAAATCCCAAAGGGTCAGCTTGTCAGTAGGGCGCTTCAAAAACAAGAAGCATCCGAACTGTCTTCCAATTACTTGTTCCTAGTGTGATGGCCGATACCCTCGCGTAATGCTGACGCACCAAGCAAACAGTCCTCCCTCAGTTGCTGCCCCGCGCTCCACTATACATGCAATTCGACGATCTGCTGCCTGAATCAACAACGTAAAAACCCAAACACTTTGGCAACCAATGGCAAGCACGCAATGACGAATTGCGATCATGCCCCGTGCCTGCGAGCGTAAAGTGCAAGGGCCGCCAAAATTGGTAGGACTAGCCCGCGTCGTGGCCGTGGCATAACCTGAGCAAGATGGCTGTCTATTTGGGATTAAACGCTTGGTTCACACCTGCCCCTACAGCTGCCTGAACGCCTGTCTTGGTTTCTCTGCATCTCTTTCTCACTCTCTTCCTTTTCCCGGATTTGGCGCAAAACGTTGCACTTGCCAAAATGCCGTCCGTAGAGTGCAGAGGGCACACTCGTCCCATACCATGCATGGCCTGCGAACGCGCGGATCTGCTGCATGAATCCTGGCTTAAACGACAGCCCCGCGGCAGCAGTCTAGGCCCTCCGCTTCACGGAATCCGGCGAGCAGTTGGACTTGAGCTGATTCTCTGAAACACGCCATCGCAACAGGAGCCTGATTCAGCACCTATATGCACCTATTGCGCTGAAAAGTCTGGTTTCCTGTAATGCAATTAGCCTCCAACCTGATCCAACCGCTTCTTGCCTGAGGGGCCATGGTGTGTAGAGGCAGCCAGCAATCGCTGCAGTGGCAGCCCGCCATGCTTAAGACTTGCCCCGCACGCAGCAAAGCCTTGTATAGGGTACACAGACAGTACAAGTGTCTCTCGCTCTCTCTCTCCCCCTCCCTTCCCCCCTCCCTCCCTCTGTGTGTCATTGTCAGCAATGTTTGGCCGAGAGTCTGGTATGGCAACAGCACGCTGCCCTTGCCACCAGCACTTGGAAAGCAGCTGCAGCCGACCAAAACACACATTGAATAGGATTCAAAGTTAGCACATAATCATGCACCACGAAACCAATTGAGTAACTTTCCCCACCCCCTGACGTCAGTGATAGAGGATTTTTGTACTACACATTGCAGTGTAGGGGCCAATAAAGGATTAACAAATTAGAAATCGGCATAAACAACAATCAAAATGGAGGATTTGGGTGCCTTGATACTGTAAACGGCGCGATTCGGAGGGTCAGGAACAACTTAAAATCACGACAAAAAAAACAAATCATGAAAACACCGAAAAATGATGAAACATGATGAAGAGTATGCAAATGATGAACATTCAGGAACCTCATCACAAATGATGAATCAGGAAGATTATGAAACACCATGCAAATGATGTAAATACTGGATAATGGTGAACACCATGACACATGATGAGGCGGCATGGAAAATGAAAAAAGAATCGTAAAAATCACGAATCATAAAAGTCAGAAGCCATAGAAGATGATGAACAATGATGAACATGCGGAATATGTGTGAAAGATGCAAAATGCTGAAAATGATGGGACACCATGAACATGTTGAAAAAAAATTGAAAGCTGATGGAAATTATGAAAGTCATAAAAAACGATGACAAATGAATTGATGAACACTTGTGACAAAGCATGAAAATTGATGAAATCTAGTGCAAACTCATGGGACATCCTGAAAAATTATGAAAACGATCACACATAGTGAACATTCATGAAATATGAAGAAACATGACGAAGCATGACAAGAATGATGGTATATGATGAAACATGACGATAAATCATGAAATCTGCGGCAACATGACGCGCAGGATGAAACACGATGAACTATCGTGCTCAATGATGATATGACATGATGAACTCTGATGGAAGACTATAAAATTAAGAAAACTGATGAAATCCGATGAAGAATGAATATGATGACGCAAATGCACAGAACACGATGGAACATAGTCAGAAGTGAGCCATACCTAGGACACGTGGTGACAAAAAGGAACATTTTGACACATGCTTGTGTGAATGTGTTTTGTAATGAATGTTCTTTGCAAGACGACAACAACAACAACAAGAGGGTTGGTGGGGTGCAGTTCCCCAATTCCGAAACCTGGACAAAGATTAGAACATGTGCTTTCTTCTGCCGCTTTTGATCTGGCAATGTGATTTGATTTATGACGAGAAGGGGATGAAGATGATGAAAAATGACGTTTTAAACAAAGTGGGAAATCAGGAAACACAATGAACAAGCATGAAAGCTGACGAAAAATGATAACAAGGATGAAAACATGAACCATGAAAATAGTGACGAATAATGAAACCCCATTAAACCAATGAACAATCATTAAAGCCAGGAGAAATCATGAAACATGTGAAAATGATGAAGCAGCCCTAGCAGGCGATGAAAAATCAGGAAAATTGAATTGATGCAACATCATGTAGAACTATGAAAATGAACAGCATGATGAAACATGAAAAATGATGAAAATCCTGAGAACGGATGAAAATTGTATTAAACAGAATGAATTAAAACCAGGAAACATATGAAAACGTCTTCGTTCCTTCCTCCTTCCTTCCCTTCTTCATTCCTTGATCCTTTGGCAGGGTTCCCACGAAAATGTGAGGATGCTCCACGCGAGCACTGGATTTGGTGCTGGAATTCGACCACCCTCCACACAATTTGAAAGCAGCATGTGAGGTGGGTCCAGGCCACAGCTGGATTTCAGGCTAGAACTCGAGGACGCTCCACTCGAGAGCTCGATTTCTCAGAGGGAATCAAACAATCAAATACGGATCAATGAAAACTAAGCAAGCTCCATGTGAGAGTGCAAAACCCCAGGTTGTTTGAGACTTATCTAATTTTTGTTGATCCATGTCCCCCCTGGAAGTGGATAGCAGCAACAGTTGACAGGTCTGTGGTCATGATTTGTGCCAGATATCAGACATATCAGACCAATAGCTCGAGAGCAGCATTCAACATCCTCAATCTCTGAAGCAACGGCGCTGTTGTCGCCCACCCTGAAGCATATTCTTCTCCGCGACTGTGTTCTGGGCTTGCGGGGCTGGAACCACGTCACTTCACAGTTTAGCTTTCCTGGCAGTGTAGCATTTCGAAACTGAAGGTTGTAGTCTCTAATGTGTCCAGATGCCTCGTCACGTCGCCGGTACTTGCTACACCTTCACATGTGAATCATCCGCCTTTGCGCTCTGACCCTTATCCCTGCACTTGCAAGCGGTTTCCTGCGTGAGTCTGCGCTGGCTCTGCTGGCCAATGGCGACGAGACCCGTTGTGCCAATGCCAGCATCCCGAAAGTAGCCTCCAATCTCAAAATCTTAATCCTCACGCTGCAGATGATATTCATTGAACATGCTTC